GGTCGTCTTATATTCGGGCCAATACGGTAAATGCACGTTATAAGCGACCCAAACTCAATTTTGTGCGGAGCAGCATTTACTGTGAAATGACACTGAAAAAAACTGGATCATGAGCTGCATGCATGCATGCATACAAACACAGAGCTGTGATTCACTAAGAAACACTCACATTGCACTAAGCCATATCAGGATTTTAGATTTATTTCGACTAATCGTGCAGCTTTAGTACTGTAGCATGTGTTGTTGCATTACCTGGCCGGTAGTTTGTAAATGTAGCTGCAACCATCTTCGGTCCAGATTATGACTTTATCAGCAGCAATGAATTCTCCTCCGACCCACGACTGATTGTTCTCGCTCGGGACCGAACACAGCAGGGAGAAATCCCCCGCATCAAACACCTGCAGCACAGATCAGTATAACTCAAACCATAATGTGAAGCACAACATCACAAACTCATAATCGCACACACTCACCCTCCAGTACTTCGAACACACCACCAGCAGCGAGAGCTGTGTGAATGTGCAGAACGAGATGCTCTGGCAGCCCTGACAGTAGATGGGCTTCGACTCTTCCTCAAAAACAGGGTCCAGATCCTGCGGGAAACACACACACTTTCATTCTCCAGCAGGACACACTCTATGACGCACACATTCTGTCCATCTACACGGGGTTTCTGTCTAGAACATGTGTTTATTGACATGTACGGTTGAGTTGAACTGTTCACCTGCATCCTGCTGACGTCAGCGGTGATGATCCACACCTTAAGAATCCCAGTGACAGACACAGCCACCACTGTGTCCTCTGAAACACACACTTTAAATGGTGAGAAACCTCCAGATTGAGAGTCATTATGAGCTGTATTTAAAGGATTATTGCTGTTTATGCTCAACTTAATCTCTATGAACTCCAAAACTATGATACTTGTATGGTAATTTAAGTAATTTTGTTGGTAGATTTTAATTTTGTGGCCATTAACTAGCAGCTTTTCAGTGTGCTAAGAATTTTTTAATGAATGAATATAAAATAAATAAAACCAATCTAAATCTTTCTATCTATATTTACATATAAATACATTTTGAATAAGTCATTTGTAAATTTAAAAATCATACATTTTAAATGTGTAATTTAAGTAATTTTGTTGGAAGATTTA